ATGATGCGGAAGCTAATAAATTAGTAGAGTTGTCGAAAGCAAGGAGGGAATTGCGGGATTCGTCGGATCCCTTGGACTTGGAAGGTGTATGTACATGTGTGAGTTTTATGAATAGGAGTTGCGTTCCCGATGCTTCACGGTTTTTAGGCTTTACATGATTTGCAGGAAAAGCTGNCGATAGCCAGCGAAGATCGAAAATCGAATGCAGCTCATAATAAGGGCCTTTGTGTCCAAACGCGTGACCCGAGTTTAAAAACCTTAACATAACAACATAACAAGTGTATTGAAAGAATTCAACTTTAATTTAAAATAAAGATTTCAAATTTCCGAGCACTAGTCAATTAATAAATTATGCAGTTTTTTTTGTATAAACTTTTGATGTTGGTTCTGCGCAAAAACACTGTCACCCCTATTGCGAGTGTCGACTGGCAGTAGATAAACGACTATTAAGCGATTATCGATTCTATTGCTGTTTGTTAGTCGTTGGAGTTTGCGTTTATAAAATTTACATAAGAAAGTGGTACTATAATGGATAAAAAGTAAGTCAATTGAATTGGAAGTTGTTAAAAATTGTGAAATATACATATGTCGTGTCGAATGCAAGTCGTTTTTCGAGTCCAATCGTATCGAAAATTCCACGTCATTGCGTAAAATTTCCACTCGACTAGGGTATTAAAACGGAAAAGCTTGGCAGCACTGTATAGTTTTCGACGATTTTGGTCGTTTACTTATTTCATTACGACAATATACAATGCTACTGTTGTCGAGTCGTACAATTTAGCCTAATTTACGACTTACGCAATGAGGCTGGAGAGTGAAGACATAGGCAAAGGAATTTCCGGAAAGAGTAGGGTAGGAAGCTCCGCTTCTATTGGAAAAGATACATATACAATATTTCTTGTGACATATAACTCCGGCTACGACCATCCACAGTGTTTTTGCGCAGACCAACATCAAAAGTTTATACAAAAAAAACTGCATAATTTATTAATTGACTAGTGCTCGGAAATTTGAAATCTTTATTTTAAATTAAAGTTGAATTCTTTCAATACACT